ATTATTGTTTTTAAAAACCTCTAAAGTCAATAAATCATATTTATTAATGTACTTTATTTTTATAAATACCTTTTTAAATATAAACTTTCAAAAGTTCAAAGTTTCATAAACTTTAACTATTGTCATATTTACCTAAAATATTTTTTAATTAAAGTCGTGTATATGCATATACTTGAATAATAACTATAAATACCTCAAATATTTGTACATTTTTAACATCGAAAACCCCAAACTCAGGTAATGTAGGTTTCTTAGTGAATGTTAAGCTCAAGTGGGAATCACATGACTGAAAACGCAAGACAAGAAAAGATAATGGACAGACGCTGAGAACAAAATAAAATATATATATAAAAACGCAGAGCAATAACCGTTCCATCTGAATACAGAACAGAGACACATAAAAGACAGAGCCAGATGAAAGTCAGTGATAAAATGACAAAACAAGATGAACAGGTCAAATAAAAAGAAAGAGAAGAGGCCGTGAGACAACAAAGACACGAGGAAATGAGGGAAAAATGGACTTTTAAATCACACTGTTTTCTTTTTTATCAGTCTCTCTCTCTCTCTCTCTTTCTCTCTGGTAATTGCTTCCTGATGTATGTAGCACTTTTCCAATTAAAGATCATGTCACTGATCTGAAGTCATTAAAATACAGACATCATAACGCTCCGTCTGAGAGAAAGAGAGAGAGTGTGTATGTGTGTGTTCTGCTGGGGGAAACCTTTGGGGAAATAAGAGCAAACAGGCAAGAGGTCATGAATCTGAATTACACACACAACAAACCCTTAAAATAACACACTGATGTGTCATCAAAACACATCAGGAAGAAAAGTTCATTGCTTAGAGGCTGCTCATTCAGCCCTCTCCATATAGAAGAAAAATCACTCATATTTCACGTTATTACGGCATCCACACCAATTCAGCTCAATTACACTCTTAAGACCTGTTCGGATGAGACTAGTTTTACTGGGGGATGTTAGAGAGATGTTTGTTTCACAGAAGTACACTGTGATTTTAGTTTCTGCCTGTTGACAAATGACAAACCCGGGCTCACTGGAAATATGTGCCCAGGGCTACAGTTTTGAGAACCGACAAATATACAGTGGAAGTCAGAATAATTTGTTTTACAGTTTCTATTTAACGGAGAGGAGATGAGACAACTGAAGGTAAAATCCACAATGCAGGTTTATTCAGCGTCAGGCAAGCAAAGATCAATCAAGTACAAACGGGTATATGCAGGCAGTCCAGAATCGTAATCGTATAACAGGCTATAGGTCATAAGGCAGGCGGCTAAACAGGAGAACAAAAGGTAAACAAGGCTGAGGTCTAAACATGGAGAAACAGGGCAAGGAGAAACAAGTTGTGATGTCACTTAATGCAAACAAGACTCGGCAAACAGGATGGGTGAATGAGTGGCTTATGAATGGTGTGATATCAGTCTCTGACAAGGTTCAGCTGGTGAGTGTAATCAAGCTAGATGAATGAGCAGGCGTGAGTGTTGGGAGAGCATGTATGAATATGTAGTCCAGGGGTCCGTTCTTCGTACCTCGCTTAAATGATTTAAGATTATTTGGCAGATCCTGGATCTTTTAATCTTGATGACTGATCTCTCGCTAATTTGGTTCTTCAAACAAGTTCGCGAATCAGATTAGAATGTCTGGATGAACTGATCTGAGATCGCTGCGTGTGTTGTGGACAGATCTATCGATCCTCGAGATCATGATCAGCAATGCAACGATTGGCTGACGGCACAGCTGCGTAATGACATCATCTGATTAATATTCAATTATCCATGTGAGCAAAATTACGTCAAATTAGCAGTAAACGGTTTGTTAAATATGACACGCAATAACCTTCCACATTTGTTGTGAGCTGCAGGCTTTACACTTTCATGTGTCAAGAGTATTCATCATGTATTTCAATGCAAATCAGTGTATTTAGTTCTACATTTAGAAAAGATTTTCTTTATTATTGTAGCCGTTTTTTTAATCGGTGTAAAGAATAACTGGATGTTTACAAAAGCATTTTGAAATTGGTAAAGGCCTCTGCAACTTTTGTGAAGTATCAAATCACCGACATATTAACTATCAAAACATGTTTATGACTCCATTAATGTATTATTGCTTTAAAAAAGTCACATATTGTGCATTTCTATTATACACAACTTGTACTAAACCATCTCTTTGCACCACCAGGTAGCAGTCTTTGTACTTTCATTTCGAGGGTGCAGATTGCATACGCTTTATTAATATATATATATATATATATATATAACTTTATTTAATTTATTAATAACTATAACTTCATATATATATATATATATATATATATATATATATATATATATATATATATATATATATATATATATAGTTTAAAAAATATTTACTCTTTTCCCAAGTGTATATAACTACTACTGTAAGAAAATATCAGAATTCGGCACTTACTTTCTGTATTATATTTGCTTAAACTGAGCCGATCTTATTCTGTTTATATGAATTGAACCTGCTCCCGATCAGGTTTAAGCTAGCAGAACTGTTGCTATAACAACAACTCTCGGATCAGCTTTGAAGAACGAAACGATCCTGGATCGTGTCAAATCGTCCATAACCAAATCCAGCTAACTGAGTAATCCATGTACGAAGAACGGACCCCAGGGGAAGGCGGAAGTGTGGTCCATAGTGTTCGTGTGAGAACCAGCGATCTCTGGAGAGCGATCACTGGTTTATGTGACAAGTATTATGAGTTTAGCCCACCAGTCTGATTTAAATGAACCTGAAGCTGAGATCATTTAATGGTAAACCTTTACCTTCATATTGACAGTTGACTTTTAACATTTAGTCATTACTTTTGGTTCATTTTAGCAAAAACATTGAGTCAAGAAAGACAGAAAAATCCCATTAAATCTGAAGTGAGAAAACTGAGACGTTAAAGAGCTCTCATTAAATACATTTCCTTCTCTTGGGTAATAAAACATCTGAATGTCAAATTAACTCACCATCATACCTCCATCTCTCTCCCCCCTTCTCTCTCTCTGTTTGCATTCCTCCAGAGACCTCATTCCTCTGATGTCCAGTTTTGTTCTCAAAATGCTAAATCCGCTATTCGCCTTCCCCTCAGGACACACACACACACACACACACACACATACACACACACACACACACACTAAAAACTTGCATCTGAGTGTTTGCTTTTCTTGAGGCTTTTTTCATGTGTCTCTTACGGTTTGCTCAGACAGGAAGCACAAATGTTCTGCCGTGTCCAACTCAAATCTGTTCATTTTTCTGCACAAACACGGCGAATGCAGCTTGCACAACCTCGCTCCAAAACACATTCACACGTCGCTTCAAATGCATTTCAAATCTGAAGCCTCGGTTTTCAGAACGTATTTTCCCATGAATCCGAGCGTGACCAGCATGTAACCTCATGAAAAGAGGTCAGTAATGACTTGCGTTGTGTTTGTATATTCCTTCCCTATATCTATATATGAAGGTAAGAAGCATCTTGTAGTGAGTCAGTGAGTTATTTTCAGTGGTGGAGGAAATACGCAAATCAGGTACTTGAGTAAAAGGACAGAAATCCTGTTAAAACATTACTCCAGTAGAAGAATAAAGTTTTTCTTCACAGTCTTACTCATTAGTAAGTCAGTAACTTTTTTATTATTAAGTTAGAAATATTGTACTTACTGATGACGGTGTATTTGAAAGCTGAATTACTAAATTTGTCAAAACCTCTAATAACCACTCTGATAATTCATGATGATTCGAGTGAAAACCTACTCAAATCAGTGAATTGTTAACTGTAGACTCACTCTGAACGCATCATTTGAATCAGTGAAGTATTAACTAAAGACTCACTCTGAACGGATAATTTGAATCAGTGCAGTATTTATTAAAGACTCACTCTGAACGCATCATTTGAATCAGTGAAGTATTTACTGAAGACTCACTCTGAACGGATAATTTGAATCAGTGCAGTATTTACTAAAGATTCACTTTGAACAGATCATTTGAATCAGTGGAGTATTTACTGAAGACTCACTCTGAATGGATCATTTGAATCAGTGGAGTATTTACTGAAGACTCACTCTGAACGGATCATTTGAATCAGTGGAGTATTTACTGAAGACTCACTCTGAATGGATCCCTTGAATCAGTGAAGTATTAACTGAAGACTCACTCTGAATTGCTCATTTGGATCAGTGAATTATTTACTTAAGACTAACTCTGAATGGATAATTTGAATCAGTGCAGTATTTACTAAAGATTCACTTTGAACGGATCATTTGAATCAGTGCAGTATTTACTAAAGATTCACTCTGAAAAGATCATTTTAATCAGTGAAGTATTTATTGAAGACTCAGTCTGAATGGACCATTTGAATCAGTAAAGTATTTACTGAAGACTCACACTGAACAAATCATTTGAATCAGTTAATTGTTTACTGGAGACTTACTCTGAATGAACCATTAGAATCAGTGAATTGATTACATGAGACACTCTGAACAGATCATTTGGATCAACAAATTGTTTACTGGTGACTCGCTATGAACAGATCATTTGAATCAGTGAATCGTTTACTGAAGACTCACTCTGAAAGGATAGCTTGAATCAGTGAATTGTTTAGTGGAGAGTCACTAAGAACGGATTATTTGAATCAGTGAATTGTTTACTGGAGACTCACTGTGAACGGATTATTTGAATCAGTGAATCGTTTACTGGAGACTTACTCTGAATGAACCATTAAAATCAGTGAATCATTTACTGGAAACTCACTCTGATCAGATCATTTGAATCAGTGAATCGTTTACAGGAGACTCAGTAGCCTTTATTTCTCACACACTTTATGAGTTAAGCATATGTTGATATGTTTTTCACGATATGTATGTAAACATTCTTAAATTAAGATACTACTAAAGATGCCAAATGTTGCCAGATATTTGAAATGAAACTCATTTTGATCAGCTGTTGAGGAAAAACAAACAGGAAGTGACTCACCGTTCTTCTCTGTGTGTGGTTTAATGACTTCCTGTCCGGGCAGGCAAGGGCACGGACCCTCACACTTCGCAGACAGACTCTTCCCAGAGCTGCAGGCCTGGAACTCCAGCTTACACTGCGGAGGAACAGAGAGGATTCTGTGTAGTGCAGTTGGACACGTTAACACAATTAACCAGCACACTGAGCTTTATCTCTCGTGAAATGAGTCTGAAAGTCATCACATTATGATTGGAGTGCTGAAGTGAGGTGATGCGTTCATCTGATCACACAGAGATGGTGTCAAATCTGCTGTGTTATTAGAGGTTTAATTAATTAAGAAGCACAGGTTCATTGCAGGCAATACGGTGGCTCAGTGGTTAGCACTGTGGCCTCACAGCAAGAAGGTCGCTGGTTCGAGTCCCAGCTGGGCTAGTTGGCATTGCTGTGTGGAGTTTGCATGTTCTCCCTGTGTTGGCGTGCTCCAGTTTACCCCACAGTACAAACACATGCGCTATAGGGGAATTGAATAATCTTAAAGGGCTGTAGTGTATGTGTGTGAATGAGAGTGTATGAATGTTTCCCAGCACTGAGTTGCAGCTGCAAGGGCATCTGCTGTTTAAAACATATGCTGGATAAGTAGGCAGTTCATTCCACTGTGTCGACCCTTGATGAATAAACCTTAAAGACTAAGCTGAAGGAAAACAAAAGAATGAATGAATTGATTCAAACTCAAAACTGGACTGACACAGTTTCAGTTTACTGTAAACTTCTATGTTAAGCTGCTTTGACACAGTCTACACTGTAAAAGTGCTCCAGAAATAAAGGTGAATTGAACAGAATTGAGTTCAGGTGTGTTTGATTAGAAGGAGGTTGAAAATGTGTACTTTTGATGTGCTTCAGGAACAGGGTTGGGAAACATTACTCTAAATAATTTATTTCAGATTAGTAAAAAAATGTAGACAGCGCCCTCTAGTGGATTTGTCATCTGAAACGTGCAACACAGCATACCCAAAGCAACATCTTTAAGTTTAGTTTTACAAAAATGCAGGCTGAGGCACGTATTTCCAATGACCCTTGGTTGGAAATAGAATTAGATTTCGAAGGCTCCATCTGTTAATATCCTTCCATCCATCCATCCATCCATCCATCCATCCATCATTCCAATCATCCATCCATTCATCCATCCATTCATCCATCCATCTCTCTATCGGTGTGTATTTCCAATGACCCTTGGTTGGAAATAAAATTAGATTCAGAAGGCTCCATCTGTATGGTAACAACATTCTCTGCTGCACTTATATTTATTAAATGAGAGATAATAAAGTGAATAGAGCAAATATGTTGTCTGCTTTATTTACTCTTTTCAGTCTAAAGAGTCTTTAGACCTTGTGGGAACTCTTAAGATAGATGCATTATTCATACACTGTTTGTGCGCATATTCACTGAACAATTATCCGCCGGTTCATGACCGTACCTTATTTTTAACACTGAAAGGGTCCGTATTTGTGCAGGTAAGAGCCAGTTCAGTGATTCAGGGTGATAGATAGATATCTATCTATCTATCTATCTATCTATCTATCTATCTATCTATCTATCTATCTATCTATCTATCTATCTATCTATCTATCTATCTATCTATCTATCTATCTATCTATCTATCTATCTATCTATCTATCTATCTATCTATCTATCTATCTATCTATCTATCTATCTATCTATCTATCTATCTATCTATCTATCTATCTATCTATCTATCTATCTATCTATCTATCTATCTATCTATCTATCTATCTATCTATCTATCTATCTATCTATCTATCTATCTATCTATCTATCTATCTATCTATCTATCTATCTATCTATCTATCTATCTATCTATCTATCTATCTATCTATCTATCTATCTATCTATCTATCTATCTATCTATCTATCTATCTATCTATCTATCTATCTATCTATCTATCTATCTATCTATCTATCTATCTATCTATCTATCTATCTATCTATCTATCTATCTATCTATCTATCTATCTATCTATCTATCTATCTATCTATCTATCTATCTATCTATCTATCTATCTATCTATCTATCTATCTATCTATCTATCTATCTATCTATCTATCTATCTATCTATCTATCTATCTATCTATCTATCTATCTATCTATCTATCTATCTATCTATCTATCTAATCTATCTATCTATCTATCTATCTATCCATCTATCTATCTATCTATCTATCTATCTAT